CGTTGAGTTTGTTCTTTATAGGGTTGGTAGTTCGTTACTAGGTATAAAAGTTTCATATGCTTAACCGTTGAGTTTGTTCTTTATAGGGTTGGTAGTTCGTTACAAGGTATAAAAGTTTCATATGCTTAACCGTTGAGTTTGTTCTTTATAGGGTTGGTAGTTCGTTACTAGGTATAAAAGTTTCATCTGCTTAACCGTTGAGTTTGTTCTTTATAGGGTTGGTAGTTCGTTACTAGGTATAAAAGTTTCATATGCTTAACCGTTGAGTTTGTTCTTTATAGGGTTGGTAGTTCGTTACTAGGTATAAAAGTTTCATATGCTTAACTGTTGAGTTTGTTCTTTATAGGGTTGGTAGTTCGTTACTAGGTATAAAAGTTTCATCTGCTTAACCGTTGAGTTTGTTCTTTATAGGGTTGGTAGTTCGTTACTAGCTATAAATGTTTCATCTGCTTAACCGTTGAGTTTGTTCTTTATAGGGTTGGTAGTTCGTTACTAGGTATAAAAGTTTCATATGCTTAACCGTTGAGTTTGTTCTTTATAGGGTTGGTAGTTCGTTACTAGGTATAAAAGTTTCATATGCTTAACCGTTGAGTTTGTTCTTTATAGGGTTGGTAGTTCGCTACTAGGTATAAAAGTTTCATATGCTTAACCGTTGAGTTTGTTCTTTATAGGGTTGGTAGTTCGTTACTAGGTATAAAAGTTTCATATGCTTAACCGTTGAGTTTGTTCTTTATAGGGTTGGTAGTTCGTTACTAGTTACCAAAGGGGGGATAGCTGAATAGATCCACTTTCATATGCTTAACCGTTGAGTTTGTTCTTTATAGGGTTGGTAGTTCGTTACTAGGTACCAAAGGGGGGATAGCTGAATAGATCCACTTTCATATGCTTAACCGTTGAGTTTGTTCTTTATAGGGTCGGTAGTTCGCTACTAGGTATAAAAGTTTCATCTGCTTAACCGTTGAGTTTGTTCTTTATAGGGTTGGTAGTTCGTTACTAGTTATAAAAGTTTCATATGCTTAACCATTGAGTTTGTTCTTTATAGGGTTGGTAGTTCGTTACTAGGTATAAAAGTTTCATCTGCTTAACCGTTGAGTTTGTTCTTTATAGGGTTGGTAGTTCGTAACTAGGTATAAAAGTTTCATATGCTTAACCGTTGAGTTTGTTCTTTATAGGGTTGGTAGTTCGTTACTAGGTATAAAAGTTTCATATGCTTAACCGTTGAGTTTGTTCTTTATAGGGTTGGTAGTTCGTTACTAGGTATAAAAGTTTCATATGCTTAAAGTTGAGTTTGTTCTTTATAGGGTTGTAGTTCGTTACTAGGTATAAAAGTTTCATCTGCTTAACCGTTGAGTTTGTTCTTTATAGGGTTGGTAGTTCGTTACTAGGTATAAAAGTTTCATCTGCTTAACCGTTGAGTTTGTTCTTTATAGGGTTGGTAGTTCGTTACTAGGTATAAAAGTTTCATCTGCTTAACCGTTGAGTTTGTTCTTTATAGGGTTGGTAGTTCGTTACTAGGTATAAAAGTTTCATATGCTCAACCGTTGAGTTTGTTCTTTATAGGGTTGGTAGTTCGTTACTAGGTATAAAAGTTTCATATGCTTAACCGTTGAGTTTGTTCTTTATAGGGTTGGTAGTTCGTTACAAGGTATAAAAGTTTCATATGCTTAACCGTTGAGTTTGTTCTTTATAGGGTTGGTAGTTCGTTACTAGGTATAAAAGTTTCATCTGCTTAACCGTTGAGTTTGTTCTTTATAGGGTTGGTAGTTCGTTACTAGGTATAAAAGTTTCATATGCTTAACCGTTGAGTTTGTTCTTTATAGGGTTGGTAGTTCGTTACTAGGTATAAAAGTTTCATATGCTTAACTGTTGAGTTTGTTCTTTATAGGGTTGGTAGTTCGTTACTAGGTATAAAAGTTTCATCTGCTTAACCGTTGAGTTTGTTCTTTATAGGGTTGGTAGTTCGTTACTAGCTATAAATGTTTCATCTGCTTAACCGTTGAGTTTGTTCTTTATAGGGTTGGTAGTTCGTTACTAGGTATAAAAGTTTCATATGCTTAACCGTTGAGTTTGTTCTTTATAGGGTTGGTAGTTCGTTACTAGGTATAAAAGTTTCATATGCTTAACCGTTGAGTTTGTTCTTTATAGGGTTGGTAGTTCGCTACTAGGTATAAAAGTTTCATATGCTTAACCGTTGAGTTTGTTCTTTATAGGGTTGGTAGTTCGTTACTAGGTATAAAAGTTTCATATGCTTAACCGTTGAGTTTGTTCTTTATAGGGTTGGTAGTTCGTTACTAGTTACCAAAGGGGGGATAGCTGAATAGATCCACTTTCATATGCTTAACCGTTGAGTTTGTTCTTTATAGGGTTGGTAGTTCGTTACTAGGTACCAAAGGGGGGATAGCTGAATAGATCCACTTTCATATGCTTAACCGTTGAGTTTGTTCTTTATAGGGTCGGTAGTTCGCTACTAGGTATAAAAGTTTCATCTGCTTAACCGTTGAGTTTGTTCTTTATAGGGTTGGTAGTTCGTTACTAGTTATAAAAGTTTCATATGCTTAACCATTGAGTTTGTTCTTTATAGGGTTGGTAGTTCGTTACTAGGTATAAAAGTTTCATCTGCTTAACCGTTGAGTTTGTTCTTTATAGGGTTGGTAGTTCGTAACTAGGTATAAAAGTTTCATATGCTTAACCGTTGAGTTTGTTCTTTATAGGGTTGGTAGTTCGTTACTAGGTATAAAAGTTTCATATGCTTAACCGTTGAGTTTGTTCTTTATAGGGTTGGTAGTTCGTTACTAGGTATAAAAGTTTCATATGCTTAAAGTTGAGTTTGTTCTTTATAGGGTTGTAGTTCGTTACTAGGTATAAAAGTTTCATCTGCTTAACCGTTGAGTTTGTTCTTTATAGGGTTGGTAGTTCGTTACTAGGTATAAAAGTTTCATCTGCTTAACCGTTGAGTTTGTTCTTTATAGGGTTGGTAGTTCGTTACTAGGTATAAAAGTTTCATATGCTTAACCGTTGAGTTTGTTCTTTATAGGGTTGGTAGTTCGTTACTAGGTATAAAAGTTTCATATGCTTAACCGTTGAGTTTGTTCTTTATAGGGTTGGTAGTTCGTTACTAGGTATAAAAGTTTCATCTGCTTAACCGTTGAGTTTGGTCTTTATAGGGTTGGTAGTTCGTTACTAGGTATAAAAGTTTCATCTGCTTAACCGTTGAGTTTGTTCTTTATAGGGTTGGTAGTTCGTTACTAGGTATAAAAGTTTCATATACTTAACCGTTGAGTTTGTTCTTTATAGGGTTGGTAGTTCGTTACTAGGTATAAAAGTTTCATATGCTTAACCGTTGAGTTTGTTCTTTATAGGGTTGGTAGTTCGTTACTACAAATAAAAGTTTCATCTGCTTAACCGTTGAGTTTGTTCTTTATAGGGTTGGTAGTTCGTTACTAGGTATAAAAGTTTCATATGCTTAACCGTTGAGTTTGTTCTTTATAGGGTTGGTAGTTCGTTACTAGGTATAAAAGTTTCATATGCTTAACCGTTGAGTTTGTTCTTTATAGGGTTGGTAGTTCGTTACTAGGTATAAAAGTTTCATATGCTTAACCGTTGAGTTTGTTCTTTATAGGGTTGGTAGTTCGTTACTAGGTATAAAAGTTTCATCTGCTTAACCGTTGAGTTTGTTCTTTATGGGGTTGGTAGTTCGTTACTAGGTATAAAAGTTTCATATGCTTAACCGTTGAGTTTGTTCTTTATAGGGTTGGTAGTTCGTTACTAGGTATAAAAGTTTCATATGCTTAACCGTTGAGTTTGTTCTTTATAGGGTTGGTAGTTCGTTACTAGGTATAAAAGTTTCATCTGCTTAACCGTTGAGTTTGTTCTTTATAGGGTTGGTAGTTCGTTACTAGGTATAAATGTTTCATCTGCTTAACCGTTGAGTTTGTTCTTTTAGGGTTGGTAGTTCGTTACTAGGTATAAAAGTTTCATATGCTTAACCGTTGAGTTTGTTCTTTATAGGGTTGGTAGTTCGTTACTAGGTATAAAAGTTTCATATGCCTAACCGTTGAGTTTGTTTTTTATAGGGTTGGTAGTTCGTTACTAGGTATAAAAGTTTCATCTGCTTAACCGTTGAGTTTGTTCTTTATAGGGTTGGTAGTTCGTTACTAGGTATAAAAGTTTCATATGCTTAACCGTTGAGTTTGTTCTTTATAGGGTTGGTAGTTCGCTACTAGGTATAAAAGTTTCATATGCTTAACCGTTGAGTTTGTTCTTTATAGGGTTGGTAGTTCGTTACTAGGTATAAAAGTTTCATATGCTTAACCGTTGAGTTTGTTCTTTATAGGGTTGGTAGTTCGTTACTAGTTACCAAAGGGGGGATAGCTGAATAGATCCACTTTCATATGCTTAACCGTTGAGTTTGTTCTTTCTAGGGTTGGTAGTTCGTTACTAGGTACCAAAGGGGGGATAGCTGAATAGATCCACTTTCATATGCTTAACCGTTGAGTTTGTTTTTTATAAGGTTGGTAGTTCGTTACTAGGTACCAAAGGGGGGATAGCTGAATAGATCCACTTTCATATGCTTAACCGTTGAGTTTGTTCTTTATAGGGTTGGTAGTTCGTTACTAGGTACCAAAGGGGGGATAGCTGAATAGATCCACTTTCATCTGCTTAACCGTTGAGTTTGTTCTTTATAGGGTTGGTAGTTCGTTACTAGGTATAAAAGTTTCATATGCTTAACCGTTGAGTTTGTTCTTTATAGGATTGGTAATTCGTTGCTAGGTATAAAAGTTTCATATGCTTAACCGTTGAGTTTGTTCTTTATAGGGTTGGTAATTCGTTACTAGGTACCAAAGGGGGGATAGCTGAATAGATCCACTTGGGGCAGCAACAAATTCACTGTTTCCTAATTTTACCTGCAAATTAATGCTGGCGTGAACCGCTCGCTATTCACTAACTTATTCACAAATTCAACTCACTTAACAGATTTTTATACAAAACAACTCACTTACCAGATTTTGAGGTTTTTTAATTATAATAGAAACAAGAACTAATCATAATTTTGAATTGCACGAAAAATAATTAAATGAACAAAAGTTCTGAATCGGCCAAGTTTTTGACAACTTTTCAAGACAATTGTCAGATTTTTCGTAACGGCAAAAACTGAATCTTAGTCATCGGTTTGTTTTGTTACTCGCTTTAAACGTAGGTGAATGTTTTTAATAAAATGCAAAATCCAAAATCAATCACAGTAATTCTGAGCTGAAAACGCGTGAGTAAACAAAACAAACTTCACTTGCTGTACCAAATGACAAAATGACAAAACCAGACTATATTTTGTTTTATGATGGATGAAGACATATTTGATTTGACGGAAATCGTGTTTGCTATCTGACAGATGCGAGAATTTTCTAACGGATATCCTTTAAAAAATGAAGAAAAAAAAACCGCAGTTTTCCGTCACTTTTGGAGTTCTGTGTTTTAATTGTAAGTTTGCATTTAAATCTGCATCGCTGGAAAAACTTATCCGCTTTTGCGATGCAAGCGTCAAAAAATGGTACCACATGTGCTATTTTCAATGGCTGAAAGATTTTTCAATTAACCTATTGAGACTATTTTGAGCAGGAACTTCAAAGATTAATGAAAAGTAAAGCAGAAATTTAATATGAATTTATAGTTTATATGGTACAGTGGTCGCATATGTGCTGTAATTGGGTCACCGACTTGAAGTTTACTCCATTAATTCAGTTCTGTTTCTAGCGAATTTTGAAGAAAGTTACTATAATCCAGGTAGTTTTCTTCAGATCCCTATAGAACCTTTAAATGACAATTTTTCACGTACTCTGAATTATCTCTGATTTATATATATAATATCACTTTGCATTGAATATTGCGAATGAGGGAATAAATTCAGAGAAATGAAAATTTTGTTTTTAATGATCTCCTTTTTACAGTAGTAATTTAATGAACGAACGCATGATCATTATGATGAACACACTATCGACGACAATTACAAAACTTTTGCACCAACGAGAAGCACTGATTCTTCCGAAACGCAACGTTAAGGAAAATATTATTATAAATTTTGAGTCTATTAACTCAATTAATGCATCAATTAGATTGTGTCAGTTCAATTTGGAGTAAACTCTGACCCGGAATTATTCGTTGCGTATGTGCACAAAAGAATTATCCCCAGTTGGCAATTACTTTTAATTGCGTTTCAATTAGAAGTTCAAAATCAGCATAAAAATTTAACTGAAATAAATAGGACAGCTCGTTTATCACCACAAAACCTTGAAAGTCTCTACAGCACTTTAGGGCATTCATCATAAAACGTTTTTGGTTGAAAAATTGACAAAATGATCGAAAAAAAAACAAAAATTAATTGAAGTAAAAAGCAACAATAGTTAAGCAAAAAAATAATAAAAAGCGATATTTGTTAACTAAAAAGCACTAAATTTATCCTATCGTACACTCATTAAAAGGCCAAATGCCTTATGTTCCGACTTTCCAAACGAAAGTAACGAAATATTTGTGCTCGGGGTGGGTTTTGTTTTTCAGACAAATTTCGGTTTTATATAATTCGAAAGCTATTATTCTCCTGAGTTTAAATTTGAAAAAATATTTCACCTGTGATACTTTTTCTTAATGTTATGCTGGCTTAAAGATTGTCATTTTGGCCAATTTGGGACAATTAGCGCGCGATATAATTCGCGCTATTAACGCGTAAGCGAGATTTATTCCGTCTTAGAAATCATTCCAAATTGTTTCAACGAAGTTTATATGCCATAATTGATTTGTTAATAGGAGCAAAATATATCACTTTGTACTTAATAAGACGTGTGGGGGGATGTTTTCACAAAAAAATTGCAAGTTTTATTTTTAAGTTTTCTAATTTTTTTTATTACATTTAAATTTTTCATGTTATTACTGCACCATAGACCTTAAAAACAGTCGGAACATTCAAGGCTTCGCTCTGATACGAGTAGTCTTGTTTCAGATTGGAACTATTCAATACGCCGCTTGCGCGCCATATATAGCGAGTTAATTATCCCAATTCGGCCAAATTCGCAACTTCAAACACCCATATTTTTACAAAACAAGATCGCAGTCTTTTGCTTTCTGTCCCTCAGACAACAATACTTTCTAAGATGATATTAAAAGTTCATATCACAAACTTTTGGTTAAAACTTCAAAACTTGAATAAATAAAAAACCACCCGAAGCATAAATAATCCGTCTTTTTCTTAGAAAGTTGGAACAACAGGCCAAAGAAATGAGGAAAAAATATTCTAAACTATAATTAATTTGATTACATTTTTTTTCGGAAAGAAAATTTTTTCAAATGGCGAAAAGCACAGACATCATTTGATAAGATGATAAGTCAGTTCAAGAACCCTTCAGAAAATAAAAATTTGATACTTTATAAGAATCATCTGATGAACCTAACGACTGGAATGAAATAGTATCTTCCAAAAAATGAGCCGAACTCAAATAGTAACAAATATTTTTTCAACATTTTCAGCCTTAAATGTCACAAAAATGTCAAAGTAGGAAAATTTTAAAAGTGTTCGTCAGTAATAAAAATGTTTAAGGCAAAAACACTGATGAAAGCTATCTACAATAATTTTTTAAAACAGTTTCAGCGAAAAGCTGGCTCTAATCAACAAATATTGGAACTAAACAAGACTGTTTGTACATCAAGGCAAAACTCTGAAACTTTTGACTTCACTGTACTGCCAATTAAGGAACTTTTCCATGAAAAAATGATCAAACAATTGAATTTATTCTAATTTTTTTCTTCATTTGATCTCCATCACTCCATGTAAAGTGCAAAAATAATTTAACCGTATCTTTTCTCAGTAATCAGAAAAATGACTTGACCTGCTTCAATTTCATTTAACCCTGCCGAACGATTTAACCCATTGTTTACTCGTGTCGAGTTGGAAAAAAATCAGTAGAAAAAGTTTTCGTCAAAAATGTTCAATTAAAATGTCGAGAAAGAATAAAAAATCTCTCCAAGCATAAATTAACTGGATTCTTCAAAAGTCGAAACAAATATCCTAGTATCTAACAAAACTGATAGAAAGAGGCTGGAACCTCCCCGCATTGGAGTTCCATGAATGAAAATCGATTATAATTGAGTTTCACTGTCGGTATTCACAGAAGTGAAAAAAAATTGATTATAACATTACTATTTTTCGAGGAAGCAAAATCCACTTTTAACCCATTATAATCGATTTTTTTTTCACTTTTGTGGACACCGACAATAAAACTCAACAAGACTGCTCGCATCAGGGCGAAGCCTTGAATGTTCCGACTGCCTTTTAAGGTTTATGGAGCAGCAGTAATAACATAAAAAATTAAATGAAATAAAATAAAATGAAAATTTTGTTTTCTAAAATTTGAAATTTTTTATGAAAATCATCCCCCCACACGCCATATAAAGTACAGAAAGAAAAATTTCGTTCCTTGTAACAAATCAATTATGGCAAATAAGCTTCGTTCAACCAATTTGGAACGATTTATAAGACGGATTAAATCTCGGCTTACGCGTTAATAGCGCGAATTATATCGCTCGTTAATTGTCCCAAATTGGTCAAAATGGCCAAAATGGTAATCTTTAAATCCTCATAACTCTACAAAAAATGATCACAGGTGAAATATCTTTTCAAATTTAAGCTCAGGACAACAATGGCTTTCGAATGGTAAAAAAAAATTCCGTCAAAAATGGCTAGTTGAAAAGTCGAAATTTGTCTGAAGAAAAAAAAACCCACCCCGAGCACAAATATTCCGTTACTTTCGTATCGAAAGTCGGAACAATTATAATCGCGTTTTCTCACTTTGTTGACATGCGAATTTCAACGCATGTAAAGGCTTTTCTACGTTTTAAACTAAAGTTGGTTATTTTTGATTATCCAAAAAATTTGATAATTTTTTTTATGTTACTCAATAGCTGAATTTTGTTGCTTTCAACAATTTCCCGCTTCTATTCCCTCCAATGTTTGCCCCTTTGCAGCTTTTGCACCCTTACACTCGCCATCCCCCACCTTAACCAATCGCAACCCTGCCCCCACCTGAACCAATCGCAACCCTGCCCCCACCTGAATCAACCCTCCCTCCACCAAATGAATCCCAACTGAACCAACCCCCACAGATACTCACCATACCTGAACCGGATCAGAGGGTAGAGCGGGAAAGGTTCAGCGTGGGGGGGGGTCCCAGAAGGCCAGGTGGGGGGAGGGGGCTTCAAGAGCGCGGGCAGGGGGGGGCAAAGAGGCAAACGTTGGAATGGGGGTTGTAAGGGAGCAAAGGGCCAAATGTTGGAAGTGGAGGGGGGGGGTTTGATCAACTAAAGGTTTTTGCAATTTGAGTTTAGGTTTAGAAAAGGTGAAGGACGTACACTCACTTTGCAAAGATTTTGCATTACTCATTTTTGAAAAGCAGCCCCCCTCGTGAAAATCCTCGATCAGCCCCTGATGAAGCATATAGTACTGTTTTGCTCTGCAATACCATTCGAGATATCTTCTTTGCTGACAATTTAAAACTATGTTCATAAAGTTTGTTTATTTTAAAAACATATACGCTCAAGGAGACACCATTGGATAGTCAGAAATAGTAATTTTGGTTATCTGCCAAGAAAGTTTTGATTGAAAAAACTAATTAGATTACAACACTGCAAGTGTTGGTAAAAACTAATTTCAAAAATTGATAGGGAAAGTATAATTTAGATTTACCTTCATCGGTGGTACCGAATTGTCCTTGATGCATTTGGCGGGTGGTAATGCGTCTAGCTGCAGCGACATCTGTAATTTTCTGCTCATCTTATCAAAAAGAACAAAAGCTGCAAAGGCATTGCTAATTTGACAGTTGGTAGTTTTCTTAAAGCGTTCTACATATATTTGCGTTTTGTTCACTAATCATAGTGACATTAACTTGAAGTTGAGGGAATAAAATGGCTGCAGTAAAATGAGGACCAGAGAACAAGGAAGGGACTATAAAGACTGCATTGATTAGCCCAGATTGGATGGTCATGCTATTGTTTGATTGACAATGTTGGGGTTGGAAGACGCGTGAATAAGTGTGGCAAGAGCTTTGTATGACTTCCTGAAATCTTTCCTTTCCCAATTCCATTCCGCCCCTGTTATTTCATCCCTCCCTCAATTATTTCACTCTTTGTAGTCTGTGTAGCTATACAAAAACGGGACGGCTTCCTATTAACGTTCAAACAACGCCCGAATTCGCAACCTCATTATGCAAATATTGATACAATTAGTCCAAGATAAAAACACAAAAAAAACAACTTCCAAACGGGCCAAAAA